TCAAGGTTAGAAGAGTATTTTAATGTACCAAAGTATCAATCCGATCAACCCGTACGATTTGGGTTGGGTTGGATTGGATTAAGATTTTTCAAACCGCAAATATTGTATTGGGTTGTTCAAATATCTTCAACCCGGTCAATCCAACTCATAAACACCCTTACTTAAAATCATGTTCCTTTGATTTGGAAAAAGGGACGGTAACTATTACATCGATCTTAAACTGTTTATGCAGATGAAAGTTATTTGACAAATGGATATGTCGACAAGTTGATAGATTGGGTTCCAGGAATGGAACAAATCCGTTTACGGGATCTTCCTGAACGGATCTTAGCCACAAAACCCGATGATCCATCGTTACATTATCTAGTCGAAGCAGCTCGGGTAGTCGATAAAGTTTCGCACATCATCGTTCATACTTTCGACGAATTAGAAGATAACCTCGTCAAAGAGCTTAAATCCATCTTTCCTCGGATCTACACGGTCGGGCCTCAGCAGCTACTTCTGGACCAGATAACAGGAAAAGAAACCAAGATCTCAAATTTCAACGGCTACAGTTTATGGAAGGAAGAACCCGAGTGYGTCAAGTGGCTCGAGTCGAAGGAACCCAACTCGGTGGTTTACGTCAACTTTGGAAGTCTAGCCATGATGTGTTTACAAGATCTTCTTGARCTCGGTTGGGGACTTGTGAACAGCAACCATGAGTTTCTTTGGATCATCAGGACCGATATGRTTGATGGTGGTTCAGCCGTTTTGCCAACAGAATTCGTGGAGGCGATCAAAGGGAAAGGTTTGATTGCAAGTTGGTGTTTGCAAGAAGAGGTTCTGAACCACCCTGCGGTTGGCGGGTTCTTGACTCACGGTGGGTGGGGTTCGGTTATCGAGAGCTTGTCGGCTGGGGTACCGATGTTGTGTCGGCCGGTTTCCCACGACCAGCGGACTAATTGCCGGCAACTGGTGAAGGGATGGGAGGTTGGAATGGAGATTGAAGGTGATGTGAAGAGAGATGAAATCGAGAAGCTTGTAAGGATGTTAATGGAGGGCAAGAAGATGAGGAAGAAGTCGATGGAGTGGAAGAAAAAGGCGGAAATCGCGGCGGGTTTCAACGGGTCGTCGTCTTTGAATATCGAAAATCTTGCTCGTGAAATCACCCGGTTGTCGTAAAGCTAGATTCCGGATTCTATCGATGGATGTGCGTTTTCGAAGTGATTATTGTTACTTGAAGATTTGAAGTTAAAACTAGATGATCGTTTGATTGAGAGTACTATATTCATATGTGAATAATCAATTCTGTTGTAACAACTCTTTTGAATTATTTACTTGCAGATTATTCACATATCAGATAAATTATGCTGGTTATGTTGTATTGTCCCCATTCAGCCAAAAAAAGACATCTCTACCCGTTATCGTTGAGACATACCTGATACCTCCTTCTAGGTTACAAACACGCCTCCATTCAAAACCTTAGCCGCTGCACTTGAGACACACTGTCGATCACGACCTTCTTTCGTAGACCGTCGAATTCGACCTTCTTTCTAGCGACCATCGAGCCTTGTGAGCGGCGACCTTCTTTCGGGCGATTGTAGAGCCAGAAGAGGGTGGTAGTTGCAATTCCATTTCTTGCTTTCATGGCAACTTCTATATTTTTGATTCTACATTGATTGTCCCAATATATACAAAAAAAACTATATTACAAAAGTAGCTACCAAATTTTTTCATGTAATCTCAGTACAAGACTTGTAAATATAACAAGTATTCAAGTACAAATGATATCACATCATCCCAAAATCCACATGTAAGCAATCATAAATTCTTCATAATTTCCCCTTTCCCTTATCGTAAGATTGTGCTCAACTTGTAATGCACATTTTGAAATACAAATGAGAATTAGACCATGAGGTCTAATAACAAATAAACAACTTTTATCAAAACAAACCTCTTTTGCCGCATCAATAAGATGAGACAACACATATTTATCACGTCAAACAACCAAATAAGCCCTTTATCGCATAACTCATTAACTTGTTGCATCATATAGATAAAACCATAATTTTCTCGCATCACATTGGGTGAGACAACCTCATTTCCTCGCAAAACATTAGTGCGAGAACTCATCTCATCGTATCACACTGGTGCGATAAACACATTTTGTCGCATCTGATAACTCAATTTATTGCATCACAAGGATGTGACAAACACTCTTCTTGCATCACAACGATAAAGTCAACTTTATCGCATCAATAGGATGCGATAACCCAGATTATCGCATCTTAAAGATGCGATAACTCAAATTCATCGCATCAATAAGATGCTTTAACAATTCATCCTTTGATCAAAAGCCCAATTTTCATATACAGTTGATTATGTCACCTTTATTCTATAATACGTCTCTCCTGATTATCTCACTCTTATCCCAAAATATTCATCTCCTGATTATGTCACATTTATCCCAAAATACACCTCTTCTGATCATGTCATCCTTATCCATAATACGCCTCTCTTGATTATGTCACTCTTATTCTAATAATTTGATATTAACATATCAAAATACAAATTTATGCTAATCAATAGCATAACAACAGCTTCAGAACTCCCCACATAAAGAACCATACAGTTCTGTTTCAACACTGTAAAAGGAAAACTTTAAAATAAAATTCACCTTAATTCACAAAAATAAAGATAAACAACAACAAATATTCAAATTAATAATCACATAACCAATTTCTTCTTCCCCTTACGATTTCTGTTTTACTTCAGCTTTTTGAACACATACATAGTAAACTCTTTTTGCTTTTCTACTGACTTCACACCATCCCAATTAGAGATGGCCAAAATCCGGTCCCAAGCCGGTCCTTAACCGGTCCCTACGGGTCCTAATCAAGACAAAAACCGGCGGTAACCGGTCCTGCCATAACCGGTACCGGTTCCGGTGAAATACCTTGTAACCGGTCAAGCTTACCGGTAACCGGTTAAGGAATCCGGTTCCGGTTCCGGTCCCATAACCGGTCCCATCCGGTCCCGGCCAAAAAAAAAAAAATTCAAATTTTTGTTTATTAATAAATTTTTAATATGCTATTAATATGTTTGTAATATGTTATTTTTAATATGTTTTATATAAATACGTTTTATTATAAATACGTTTAAAAATATGTTTTGTTATATATATACGTTTAATTTTATAAATACGTTGACTTTTGTTGACCGGGCCGGGCCGGGCCAGTCCTATAACCGGTTACATAACCGGCCTCGGTCCTAGAAAACATTAAAATCCATAACCGGTTCATAACCGGCGATCCACAACCGGTCCATACCGATCCCGAGCCGATTCTGGCCCCTCTCCGGTCCTGGTTCCGATCCTCCGACGATTACGGGCCGGACCGGACCCATTTGGCCATCTCTAATCCCAATGAGATAAAAACCAATATCTCATAATAATAATCACAAATAATAAGAGGCTATGGATCTGACTACAATATTTGAGCACATAATCAATTTAACCCCCTCAATGTTTCATCATTATTCAAAAATAACTTCGAACTTTATAACTGATAACCCCAATTATCACACATAGGGACAAAAAGGAAACGAATTGAAAACAACAATGTCCAAAAATACCAATTACTAAAGATCAAAATGAAAATAGTTATAAACAACAATTCATAAAAACAAAATTCTAGTTAATGACAAATTCCATAAATTAAACTCTTTATTTTTAAAAGTAATAAATTTATTTTTTATACCTGATATGTTCCTATCAATGTTTTTTATACAAACGGTTTTTAGTTCAAGAATCTTATCGATGTTCTTGATACAAATGGTTTTCAGTTCAAGAATCTTATCGATGCTTTTGATACAAATGGTCTTCGGTTCGAAAAATCTTATTGATATTTCTGATGCAATCGTTTTGGGTTTAAAAAAATACACAAATAAAAACTTTCAAATAGTTAATTTGACACTAATATTAATATATTTTTTGTAAATTTTATATGATATTTTCAAATTTATATTTTATTCAAATATTAAAATATTATCGCTTTCTTAAAACCACATAAAATTGTATTATATCGATATAGATACAAAAAAAAATAAAACGAAATATTAAAATCAAAATATGTCTCGATACATTCTACGAGTATCCTTCTAGTTAATATTTAATACGTGACAAAATAAATTATGAACCTAGAATTATATGCATTGTTTAAAACGTTTGCATGTGTTTGTATATATATATCGCGTCATTTTACTTATTAATTTAAATTACATCACATCAACATACATTTGAAAAAGAAAAAAAGAAAAAAAAAAAAAAAAAAATATATATATATATATATATATATATATATAGTAATAAAAACAAAAAATAGCCGACGTACATTATTACTGACTATAAAAATAAAAATAATATAATTCTAATAATAAAATAACCAGTTTAAAGCAGCGACTAGAGGTGCTCAAAAACCCGATCAACCCAACTCAACTCAACTCAACTCAACTCGAAATAATTCAACCCAAATCAATCTGATGTCTAACCGAGTTGTAAAATTTCAAACCGTAAGTATCGAGTTAATATTGGGTTACTATTATTTTAACTCAACCCAACCCGATGAGTCCGATATCCATTTATTTATTGGATTTAATATAATTGTTGAATTTCTATTAATATAGAAACTAGACAATTACATGATCACGTAAGTTATTCATATACACATCTTTTCAATCTATTCACCTCTCTATATAATTCATTCGTATATATGTTCAGTAACTGTAAACATATATACGTAAATTGAGAAAATTAATTGAATGTGATATACGTAAGAAATATGGATAAGTTGTATTAAAATATTCGATGATGAAAAAGTTATTATAAGTAGAGAAATAACATATTCAAGGTTAAAAGAATATTTTCGACCAATGGGTTGGGTTCGGTTGCACTTTCAATTAGGTTAGGTTGGGTTGGGTTAAGATATTTCAAACCGCAAGCATTGAGTTGGATTGTTCAAATTTCTTCGACCCGATCAACCCAACTCATGAGCACCCCTAGCAACGACAATAGAGTGATTTGCAATAATGTCTTTAGTTGATTATATCAGTAAAATCCAATACTATATAAGACTTTTCATCTTTGTTAATCGGGTAAAACTTGTTATTCTCACTTACTGAGTAAGGGGCCGTTTACCAAACACTTATCCATTAAGTGCTTATCGGTAAAATTTAATACTATCATTTACTTACCATTAAGATTTTAATCCATCAAAACGACATTGTATGCAACAATTCACCCAGTAAGCACTTACCGTGGTAAGAGTCGTCGCTCTTACTTACCGGGTAAAACTCATGGTCCTTGTCTCGCTCTTACCGGGTAAGATTATTAATACTTATCATATTCATCCGATGAGGTAAGGTAAGTATTTGATAATCGGTCCTTAAAAATATTTATCTTTGTTGTCGTTGTTGACAGTGATGTTAAAACCAGAAAATTAGTAAGTAGAGGTATATTCAGCATAGTGGCGTAATTAATTAAGTCCAGTTTGGCTTGGTCAACACAGACATCGTGTTTATATAAGAGCTTAATCCAGACACCGAAACACACGCTAAAAACACACAGAGATGGATTCAACCTCCATAACCGATAACAACAAGAAGCCTCATGTGGTGTTCATACCATTTCCAGCACAAAGCCATATCAAGTGCATGCTGAAACTCGCCACCCTCCTCCACCACAACGGCCTTCAAATAACCTTCGTCAACACCGACTATAACCACAACCGCCTCCTTAGCCACAGCGGCTCTCCTTATCTCCATGGCCGTCGGAATCCTGGTTTTCAGTTCAAGACAGTCCCCGGCGGGTTCCCTGTTTCCGAAGACGACGTTGAACCGACTCAAACCGTCGAACAACTCAGCCTTTACCTCATGGACAATTTCTTGGATTCCTTTCTTGAGCTGGTGGCCGGACTGGATTCTCCACCTACTTGTATCATCTGCGATGGTTTCATGACGTTCACCAACATCCTTTACGCCGCCGAGCAGCTTAGAGCTCCGGTGATCGTGTACTGGACCCTTTCTGCCGTGGGTTTCATGGGGTATTATCAGGCTAAAGTTCTCACAGAAAGAGGACTCGTCCCACTTAAAGGTTAGTTTTCCTATCTAGTCTGTCCTTATTTGCATCTTATTAGCAGTTAGTAGGTTGCTCACGGATCGGGTTGAGAATATTTGAACAACCTAACCTAATGTTTACGGTTTGGAAAAATCTTAACC